TGTTTGACGGGCCTTGGAGTACTCGATATTCCTCGACAGCCACGTCCTTTCACGCATCACCTCTCACGCTAATAAATACATTCATTCTGGACAAGCCACTACACTTCGGAAGTATAGTACCAACGAAATGCCAATGACCCGTCCCTCTCATCATACTACAAATATATAATATATCTATACTAATTTGGTGGGCCTGTGGGTACTTCCGACACAGCCACACCCATGCATACTTCGACATTCACGCAAATAAATACATTCATACAAATAGGAGGGATCTACCACGTGTGGTGGGTTATATATAGCTATACGCATTGATTAATTTTAGGTAATCAATGACCTTCCGTTTATAATCGTTTATATAATATTTTTTTATTATTATTTATTTATTTTTTATATGAAGGTTCGCAACACCAGAAGACATCAGTTCTCGGAGTGTCGGTGTTTGTGAAAAAAGCTCATTTTTAAGTATTGTACGTATTCAAAGATGAGAGTCGTAGAATTAAAAGTATAAAAATAAATACATAAGCCCATATAATAATCTAAAATAAAACTCGTACTGTATTTTTTAGACCCTGTAATGCATAATTAATCTTCAAGTAAGAACTCTTATTTTTAAAAAAATACTAATAAACTAATTTAACATCTGAGCTACAAAAATAAAAGATATTAAGAGAGCACAATCTTATTAATTATTATTCGGAGGTTGAGAGATGCGGTCACGATCTCCGAATATTCATTTACTAACGGTCACTGAACACCAGACACTTATTAATTACCTGTGTTCCCAGGTTTTTTTAAATGCAATTCATGGTTTATAGAGTCACAAGCATGTCAAATCTCTGACGATTGCTGGACCAGCGAAGGAGCTACTTTCCACATGAAAGTCCTCCGTTGAATTTAAGTTGTACATAGAACATCTTTCCCTGAACGAATCCTTGCTCAACCAGGGCAAATAATTGATAGCAAAATAGCAGTTCCACTCTCAGCTTGAACAACAACCTCAATTGACAAGTAGCTGCAAAAAAAATACACTGAATTTCTATATAGAAGAAAGTGTTCAGACTGCGTAGCCCTACTCTCAATGAACCCTTCCTAACTTTTATAAGAGTAAGGAAAGCTGTCTTCCACTAGGGCGTATTGTCTATGGAAGGATCAAACTCACAAGAGTAATGGCGAGACGAGGTACCCAAGAATCAAACCAGAGAACCCCACCTCTATGGCTATACCGTTTACCAATCGATGACCTGGAAGTGACAACACCGTCAAACGAAATATAAAATACTGGTGAAATGCAATTAAGAAAATTGGGTCAACGGAGGTTTCAAAATTAACCATATAAGAAAGGGTGTTTGTAGGTAGAGAAAATATTTTTTTTAAGAATGACCTTCGAAACCTTTGCAAGATCTCATATAGCCCCAAATTTGAGCTGCATAACAGATTATGGATCGCAAAATATGTATTTTGATTGCAGTGGCAATATCGTAATTAATGAAGTTCTACTGATACGATTATTCCTAATTGAAAACAATACCACTTGACGACAGCTCGTTAACATCATTCCTACCATATTAATCCACATATTTGGCAATCATAATTGACCTATTAATATGTTTTAGATTATTTATACTTTTTGTCTAAAGTCTTGGTTGAGATGAAAAATCTAGTGCCACGAGGGAGGTTCGAACCTACGACCTTCGACTCAATACGTCCCTGTTGTAACCATTGAGCAACTTCCATCCACTCGGACACCCTCATCTCTACCTACATCTTGCACAATAACAAACCTGCATTCTCTAATATGGTTGGATTTGGATTAGTTTGTTTAATATAGCGGTTTTATTGTCTTTGCAGTTATTAATAACCTTATTATCAGGTAGCCATATTTATTTAAAAGTTGACGAAACTGATATGTCGAAAGATAGGATGATAATCAGGAACTTATTTGTAAAGGAAAGTATGTACGGAACGGTATGTCGACAAATATGAAAGTATGAATCTTAAAGTCGAGTTTTTAATGCCATTGGTAATCAAACAGTCAAATTTTACCAGTAGGAATTGTTTTGTTTGTTTTTCTTTTTCTATTGTAGTATGGGGAGCTTTCAGGGCTGACAAACCTCGTTGTCATCTCCGGCTCCCTCGCCAATTTAGTTTCCTTCCTCGTCTTTCTCACTTCTCGAGAACAACACTGTCTATTACTTTTTATTTGTCCGTTTTATGCTCCCAACTCCTTGCGCGTTGAGGTTATTGTGTTTATCTATTTTTCTCATTTTCATACGAATAATATCAGTAAACTGAATATCAAAATGAACATAATACACAAACTGTGTATACATATTTTTTAAGCAGTTTCATAAACAGCAAAAAATGTTCAAATGGAACGATTATTGTATATATACAGATTCAGGTTTACCCATTGTGTACAACAAATACATCACTTTTTATTAATTTTGTATAAATTTTCTTGTTTGATTTATAATAAACTACATTATAAGTTTAAAAAAAGCGTTAGAAAAGCAAATGTTTTAGTTTCGCTGCCTTCTTACAAAGATTTTCATTAAGACAATATTACAAAAACGGTTTATCAAGCCCAGATATAAGTAATAATGTTTTAATAATTACTCTAAATCGATTTATAATTTTTCCTAAAGTGTGGTTGAGATGACAAATTGGCTCAATACGCCGGTGCTCTAACCACTTGAGCTATCGTGACCTCAAACCCCGACATAAAGTGTCCACAGGGAACTGTTACCGAAGTACTTCAGTCATTATATCAATCCTTTTGTTTTTTTCGTCGGTCCTATTTAACCAAAGTAATGATTTAAATTGATTTATAATTTTTATGTAAAGTGTCATTGAGAGATGAAAAACAAGTCACGATAGCTCATGTGGTTAGAGCAGCGGCGTATTTTGCCGAAGGTCGTGGGTTCGAATCCCGTTCGTGACACTAACTTTTTCATCTCAAGGACACTTTACATAAAAATATAAATCAATTTACATCATTACTTTAGTTAAACAGGACCAACAAAAAACATCGATGAATACATATAAATTGTTACATGAACTTGGTTAAAAAATATCAAAATCAATCAATTTTTACAATATTTTTTATATAGCACTTCCTATTCTTCGGCGAATTTTTGTAGGTAGTTTGTTTGACCAATTTGTACATAAAATAAATTAGCATTTCTAATTCTTCTATCAGGTATTATTCAGAAATCGTGAGATGCGGTCTGGTGTGATGCAGGTTTCAGAAACACATTTTCTTTATCGTGCCAACGTTTCGATCTTTAAGCCGAAGATCGTGGGTTCCAATCCCGCTCGTGACACTGACGTTTTTATCACAACTAAAAACCTTAATTAATTGAAATAAATTATAAGGTTAACATTATAGATAATTAATTAAAATGAAAATGTTTCTTTCATTATATACAAATTATTTCTTCAAGTAGAATAACATGCACATCCATAGGATATGATAGACACATTATATAAAGCTATTGCGATACGTCCTCAAATGAGTACTTAAAATGTTAAATTTAAAATACAATATATGCTAGATAAACCATAATATAAAAATGTATATATTTTTACTTTTTGTGCTCGGAATGACAATTTCATCTTCTACGTTTTCAGTTTGTTTTCTCTTTTCTTTGATTGATAGTTTTTGTGTGTTAACGCTGTAAAATTTAAAAAGAAAAAGCTATGCGTGGCTGAACTGAAAAAAAAGAAAAAGAAAAGCAGGACTGAAGAAGGGAATCAAGAATCAATCTAATAAACAATTTAAAAAAAGGCTTTACTACGCTACTCTACCACCTGAGTACTCTGTACCACTGACTTTTTAATCTCAACTAAAAACCATAATTAAGTGAAATATATTAATTGGTCAAGCGGACCACGAAAACTAGTGATTTTATTACTTATATTCATACTGATCTATCATAACATTAACAAAACGTTCCTTCTACTAAATATTCCATGATTTTAAGAATACTCAATTATCCAAATTGTAAATCATTAAGAGAAATGTAAAAAATTTAAGTCAAAAAATCTAAAACACAATGCAATAAAAATTAAGCAAAAAGACTCTTGAAGAATAAAATAATCTAATTAATCAATTTTAAGACTCTTTTAACCAATCATTTTTGTCTATCTAATGTGACGTTTTGGTCTAGGCCATAAGTAAGTTGAGGCAAGAGAGCAGGCCCAGCAACGATAGACCAAGGCATCGACGGGACCACATTGCGAAATCTGAGATTAATAGTGTTTTTTGTTTAAGCTTTTTTTTATATACTATAACGTTTTTTGCGCGGATCTCTTACTGAGCAAATTTGTGTGAATAATTAATAATGAATTCACGAGTGTGAATAAAGACTAATGCCTCAAACTCAAATAATTCGTTTTTTTTTTTTTTTTTTTTTTTTTTTTTTTTAAGGAAACATCGAGGCCTGCTCCAAGTATAACAAAATAGTAAATTTTTAAAACTTCATTAAAATAAAAAAATGACCAGTGTAACTGCGACTCCTTGTCATTTACAATTCCAAAAAGATGTGATTCCGATAGAGGAGCGAAAGGTCCTTCCACTTCATTTCGTGTCTCAGGCTGCTTTCCCGATGGCTCCGGTTGGGGGATTAGATTATCCTTGACCCATCCTTATTAAAAAATAATATTATAAAATACATATTTCTTTTATATAAAATATTAAGTTATTTTTTTTAATTATTATTATTATGAGTTGAATAATGTGTAATAATTAAGTCGATCCCTTAGAAAATTTCTTAGCACTAACATTAACACGAATTTAACATTTTAGGAATAAATGAAATGGGTGTAATTAAACTGAAGTAAAAGAATCGTTAGCGGGAATAAAATACAGAAATTTTATGTATTTACAATACTTACCTCAATGTCTTATTTTATTTAAAAAAAAGCTCTATTTTATTTTAACCTGTATACTTATGTTAGTTTAAAGCTTCTAAATGTGAAAATGTTATTGTTTTCAGGTCTAATTGGAGGGTCGGGCCGAATGATAGGGGAGCGACTGAGCTCCTCGGGGACTAGGCTGGACTCCTGCAGCCCTCTTGGCCTTGCTAAATCTAGCACAGAGAGCCTTAAACCGAGACCGCTCAAATCTGTATCCAAGCAAAGCCTCCTAGACATCTTCAGCTCCAAGCTGGGAGTCTCCAGAAGGACTCCCCATCAGGTTACTGGCTATTTTTATTTATCAAAACTTTAACAATTGGTCCGTAACAGGAAACGAGAAAAGAGAGCCAAAACTGTTTTTATAACGCCTGTAGCATAACATGATTTTCAATCGGTTGATACTAGTCAAAACAGGCAAATTAAAAACTCCATTCTAAATTACGCGCCGTCAGTAAATTAACAAAGAGTCTCCTGACTAATCAATTGAGAGCGGAGGCAGGGAACCGACGAGATTGGGTTAACTCTCTCCTCCGGAGGGGAATGGGGCAATGCGATTAGTCGTTAATTACTTTTTTCTTGCTCTGAGAACTGGAAACTCTGCGGTACGAGAAAGCGTTCAAGGCGGGATTAGGTCGGCTTTAGAACCCTGCTGAGGTTGAAAGTAGCTGTACACTCCAAAATGAAGGAGCGATTTCTTATATGGACATAATATAAATTAATTATCTCCAAATGAGTATGGGTTGAATATTTGTCGTTTAGCAAATCCACTCATGCTAATAAAAGTTTTAGTTTTTTTCAACGAAAATCAATACTAATATAACAACTGAAAAAAATACAATTAATAGAAACGATAAACGATGGAGTGAGTGTGTTGTTCAATCCTTTTTAAAAAGATAGTTCCTACTCACAATAAAGGACCGTTGTTTTTGCTAAGGTTTTAATAGTTTCTAACGTTAGCAAAAAAAAGTATCTTATTTATAGATAGGTTGCTAGTTAAAAGAATAAAAAATTAACTTTAAACGAATCAACAGTAGGACTCCGCCACCCCACCACAAATGAATCATTAGGTTTCCGTTGTTTCCCATACATTGGTGAATTATCGGAAAAAGTTAGTAATATTTTTAAACAAGAAGGTTTTAGAATAGCTTTCAGAAGTACGGGTTCACTTAAAAACATCCTCTCAAAACCTAAAGACAAGGTAGACAACTTGGCAAAAAGCGGGTTTACCAACTCAATTGTAATATTAAGTATACAGGTCAATGCGGTAGAGAAATAAAAACGAGAGTAAAAGAACATTTGCCTAAATCGAGCAAATTTTTGGAATTTAAAGACCATCTAAAAGAAACAAAACATAATTTCAATTCAAATTTAAATACAACAGTGTTGCATAGTTTCAACAAAGGGAGAGAACTAGATTGGTTTGAGAAATTTGAAATTAAAAAATGTAAAATTGAACGTGGTGATAAATGCATTAATAATATAACAGATTTTGATCTATCTCCCATTTTAAATAAGTACATAAATAATATTAAACGTCCAAGTAATTAAATTAATTATTTTAAATGTTATTATTTTTCTAACAATTTAATAATATTAGTTCACTAATTTCGTGGTCCGCTTGACCAATTAAATCATTACAATTAATAAAAGTTTCTAGTTGAGATGAAAAAAAGTTAATGGCACGAGCGGGATTGGAACCCACGATCTTCGGCTAGATACGCCGCTGCTCTACCACTTGAGCTATCGTGACCTCGATCCACTCGGACATCAAAACTCAAAACTTCGAGTCATCGAAAACTCATAAGGTGGGGTTGAGATGAGAAGTTGATGTGCGAGTGGATCAAGGTCACGATAGCTCAAGTGGTAGGGCAACGGCGTATCTAGCCGAAGATCGTAGGTTCGAATGCCGCTCGTGCCATTAACTTTTTTTCATCTCAACTAAAAACCTTAATTAATAATAATATTAAGGTATCATTCTAATTTTCTATCTTTTATCTTTAACGACTAATTTATAATTAATTTCTTACAGTATTTACTATTATAATATTTATTTGTGTTATAATTTTTCGCACGTTCAAATTGAGCGCCATTAAAAAAACCAGCTGCTAATTGGAACATTGCGTTGGCGGGGGTATCAGCTGATTCACTTTTGCAGTTCATGTCGAGATACGTGGTTGTAGAAATCCTTGAACCTGATGATGAGCTAAGGGCGTGAAATCCTGTCGTTGCAAAACAACTTGCTGTGAGTAGGAACTATCTTTTTAAAAAGGATTAAAATACAATTAGTATTTAGTTATTTATTTATTTGATATTTATAAATACGAATATTATATTAAGTAATTATTTTCATATATGCTGAATTTGTCGTTGGAGTTACTTCTAGGAGAGGTTGCTAGCGACACACTCCTTCACACTTCGTCAATTTTCACTCAATGGGAAGGTCTCGGGTTCACATTCACTTCAACCGTCTTGGAGGATTTTCTGGTCGGGTTGTCAGTGATAACTGTCGAACCAGTAGTATTTAATTAAAAAATAGAAATTCTTTGGACAAAGAAGAATGATGGTACGTTATATACGTTCAAAATCAAATTACATTGTCTCTGTCTCCATCAAGGAAATTAAGCAGTACTGTTCCATTGTTTTTTACTATTGGTGATGATCATCCAATGTCATGATGATCAGCCCCAAGTGAATAGATATAACACCGTTTGTTTTGAAACGAACTCAGCCTGACTTTTATTTCCCCCATTGGCCTGATCCAGCTTCTCTTTAATGTCGATTGTTGGCCTTGGTAAACTACTTTCTTTATACTTATTGGGAAAAACATCGAACTACGCAAAAAAATGGAGACGAAAAATAGTCATCTTGCGCTTGTCTATTGGGAAAACCTTTCTTTCTGGACGAAAGTGATTAATTTTGACAATTAATGAATATTAACTTCTGACGAGAAGTCAAGCTAAGAGATTGCATATTATTGTATTAATTAATAAATTGTTATATTTTTATATTAGACATAATTTCCACGTACATAATATAAATATCAATGTAGTGTTTTTAACCTCGTAGGAACCTTGTCGCAAAATCCTCATCGTTGTTGGTGATAACAATAATCTAAATGTTAAACATGTTTCTTCTAATTGATTTCCATCCAATTTCGGCTTTATACAAAACGTTTATTACTCTCTTCAATCTCTTGTTCCATTACCACATTAGTCTGTAATTGCAGATAAAAGCTAATTAATGAGTTCAATTACAGTTGAATCGTTTTAAATTCTCTTCTTTCAAAAATAAGTGCTTTCACTTTACAATATTATTTTCGAGCTTTTTTCGCAACGCAACAATTTTTTTTATATCTTATTTTGTGAGATTTCTAGACGAGGTCTGCGGGGAGACGAACAGGTCATTTGGTCGTTTTTGCCTGATCTGCTTGTCCTCGCTGGTTTTTGCCATTTTTGTCAAGCCGAGTTCTGCTTTTGTAAAAATTGAAAGGTGTAATAAAAATAATCTTACCTGTAGTTAGGTCGTATCTGACCATTCTTGCTTGCACCGTTTGTTTTGCAACCTGTTTTGGTCTGTCCAACAAGTTCCGACATTTCGCCATCTTCATTGGTTTGACAGGATTATAAATAGGATGAAGCAAGACACCGATCCGAAGGTACTTTTATTTTAATTCTTACACATTTTACTTTCTTACATTTTCTACTGATGAATGATGAAAAGAATGGTGATGTTAGTAATTCGTGTATGTATTGTTCGGTTAGGTGTATTGATTTTTAGTCTGTCCATCAAGTTTTATATCAATTTATTATTCCCAGTTTATTTCTGTTTGGCGGTTTTTGTTAACAAGTCTGATGCCATTGATTTTCTGGTTATGTCGAATGCATGGAGTTTCTTATCTATTTTTATTCGTACGTGCCTTAACAAATATAACACCGACACCATCCTTTCAATTTTCACAAATGTACAAGCCTTATCTGCATAAAAATAACACATAAATCCACCACTGAAGATGCAAATGAGGAAAGGCTTGACGGGCCAAACCATCCAAGGCAGAAACGATTGGAAACGACCGAACTGCTAATCTTATTTCTTCACAGATGTTAGATGTATTAGTTTATGTATGCATCACTAATGCTATGTGTAATATTATTAAAACATTAAAACACTCTTTATCGAATTTTTAAATATTTAATGATTTTCATAAATTTTTTAATAGTTCTATAATTGTAACATTTACCATCACCAGTTAGTCAAAATGTTGATTGATTCTTAGAAAATCCTTTTCGACAAAATGAATTGTAATTTCATTGTATTTAAATATAGTCGTTATAACACCGTAGAAATCAAGAAATTCGGCAGAAAACCCGGTTGAATCGTCGTGTAATTGAAAATAACGAATTAACATCAGCATTCGGCTTAAGGGCTGCATGTATGTATATCATTCGAGATTAATTTCCTTGACAGGTCGAGATTGGGCGTTTGTCGGAGAATTAGAACCAACGGAAGAGCTGATACAACAATATATCACATCCGGGAAACCTCGTAAATTCCGCGCAGCAGGTGCTATTTTAAATTCCCACGGGAATATACGTGTCAACTTTTGCCCCTGGATATAATTTAATTTATATTTATGACACAATTTGTATTAAAAACAGGGTTATCTTTTAAGATATTGTAATGACAATAAAACTACAAGTACTCATCTAACTCTATTTCATTTCTAACAATTAAACTTCTGTGCATGTTACCTTAGACGGAGGAGATTTAGACAAATGCTTTTTTTGTGCTAAAAACATAACAAGCTATCTGCTTACCTTTTAATGACTGACTGTATTTCATAAATTTGCAATCTGTCTCATAGCACAATTTTAATGACTGTGCTTTATAGTCTGACTGCTGCTTGGTTAGCCCCAGATATGGCTTGTACTGGCTGCAAATTACTGAAGAAATAATTTTCTTTGCACGATAGTTAATTCAAAACCAAATGATTTACAAAGAGTATTTTGGAGTTGATGATGGATCTACGAGGCAAAGAACTCAACCTGAACCGGCATTGGGTACGTCTTCCCTCGCGGGTTTGTTGAATTACTCAAACGCTTATCGGCATCTGCGCCATCTTCAACTGTACTTCAACTTCACTGTACATTGTGTAAAATCTTCATTTTCGCTAAAACTCGGTACTCTGTTCCTCACCCTATGACGGTTCGGAAAAGTATTTTACTTGACGTTATTATCAAGCACAACATTTATGGTGTACAAACTTTTATTCCGGATGCATGG